ACCCGGGGTTGGTTTTTTGCATAAAGTCAGCGGCAACCCCCAGTGCGGGGAGCGGTCCCGGGTGCCCCAGCCGTTTTCCGGGGGGGGGGGGGGGGTTTTTTTTTTTGGAAAAAAAGGGCGCGGGGCGGGGGACGGGCAAATCCCGGCGGGGGGGGTTTGGGGGGCCCTTTAGGGGTTTTTGGTGCCCCGAACAGGTTTCCAGGGAAAGGGCCCCCGCCCCCATTAAAGTTTTTGCCCCCACCTTTTTTGGCCCTTCAAAAAAAGAGGGAATTTACCCTCCCGGGGAAAGTGTTTTGCCCCACTTCACCCAACACCTTCCCCCTAGAGCTTTTTGGGGGGTTCCCCCCCCCGGGGGTTGGCCACCCGGTTTTCGTTAATGGCTGGTGGGCCCCTCGAAGTTCCAACCTGTGTTGGATACCCAGCCAACTTCCCCCAGCAGAAAAAAAGGGTTCCCGTGTGTCCCCCCCCCGTGATTTTTAAAGCGGGTTTCCCCCCCCCCCCCCCCCCCCCCCCCCAACACGCTCACGCACCGGCGCACCCGGCATGGCAGGCACAATCGCCAAAGCGACCTTCGTACGCAAGTGTCATGCCCTCGTCGGCGCCCTACGCCGGCAAGGATGGCGGGAGCAGCCCAAAGCCGCGCCTACACACACGCCCGGGCGTAAAGAGACGCCGCCCATGTGCGCACAGGCAGGGGGTAGCCGCCGAGAGCCGCACCGCAAGAGGATGCCCATGATCTTGAGGGGCGCGAGCCGGTCGCCCCCGACGAGGGCGGTGAGCGACTCTGCGACGATGAGCGGCATCGGCTTGCCCATGACGACGCTCTTGTTCTCAAAGGCGGAGAGCACCACCGCCTGCGACAGTCTCGCTACGATGTCGCAGTTATCTCACCGCCATCGCGGCGCAATCTCGCGAGCGCCTTTTGCACCGAGGGGACCCGCGCAGCGTTGCCGACGAATCCCAAGCCGCTCATTGGCGCAGCGGGTTGGTACGACCCGGGGGCGCCGCCCCAAACGCCGAGCGCGTTGCTGTACGAGAGCGCGGCCCAGCAGTTGACCGAGACGCAGCCGTATTCGAGGAGGCGCACCATCTCGTCCAGCGCGGCGCTGCGCTCGTCCGGCCAAATGACGTTGCTAGCAGGGCGAGAGGGAGCGAGGGTGGGCCATGTTGGATAAGTGAGAAGTCGGGAGAGGCGGAGTGTGTTGTGTGCCACGACAGCGTTCCAAAGACGTGCTCGTTGACCGCCCGCGCGGCCGCCCGCGGGAAGTCGACGGGGCCCTCGCAGGCAGCGGTGGCCACCGCTAGCACCGGCGCGAAGGCCTAAGGAAGACATGAGGCAGCACCTCACGAGCGCGGTGGATGCGGGCGCGGGTCCCCACCTTGCGGCGCGAAGCCTCTGTCTGGATGGCGTACGTGTTTGCAGCCTTGTCGCCGAGCACTCCCGCATCGACGAGGAGGGTGTGCAGCGGCGAAATGTCTTGCCCGAGGGACTCGTAGACGGCCGACTCGAGCCCCTCGGGCTGCGAGGGGGGCGCCTCGATCGTCTCCGCCTCGGGATACTCGTTCTGAAACGCGGCGTAGCGCTGGTGCGCGCCGGGATAGTAGGGCGGAGGCTGCGGCATCGACGCGAGCTGCGCGCGTAGCGCCGCCAAAAATTCCGGGCGCTGTGGCCACACAGCCTCGTCCGGCAGCACGAGGAGCTTGGGAGAAAGGCTATGGAGGGGTGAACCCGGGGAGGGGGGGGGGGGGGTGACGAGACAGGGGCGGGTGGAAGAGAGGAGATGGAGCGAAGTTTGGCGCGCCAGTTCATGGAGCAGCTCGACTTGACGGCCGCGGCGAGCATCTGGGCGTGTGCCTCGATCTGTGCATCCTCCCACTGCCCCTCGTTCGCCGTGCCAGGGCACACGATCCACGGTGTGACGCAGCCTATTCAGCGCCATAGCGGTGAACGTACGCTCTGCACGATTGTGAGCGTGCGATTCGCCGTCACGCCGAGCTCTGACGTGAACAGGACCGAGTCCGTGCGGCCCGTCTCTGCCAGCGCGGCACGGACGCGGTCGTGTGTTGCGCCACTGCCGGTCATGTGCACGTGCGTCACGGCCGGGTGCGTCAACAGCGCGGCGTGTGCGCGGCCCAGCTGCGCGTCCGTACACTGCGCAAAGGCGCCTGCTTCGGCGAGCGGGTCCAGGATGTGCTGGAAGGGCGCCGTCATAAAGTGGCGGAGCGGGTGGTGCTTCAGCAGCACTGCCTTCTTGTGCACGGCCGCGAGCTCTAGAACGTCCACCAGCGTGAGGAAATTCTGGTTGCCGGCGCCGAGAACGACACCGACCCCAGCCGCGTCTGCAGAGGACGGCTCGGGCTCGCCGCCCTCTGCCGCCGCCCAGAGCTCGAGCTCGACTCCAGGCGCGCCGGAGCCGAGCATGCCCATCTGATAGACGCACGGCCCCTCCTCGGGGAGCTGCCGTTCCACCGTCGCGCTCAGCTTACCCTCAAGCCCGTCTGCCAGCTTGTCCATGCGTGCCGCCGCGGTGGCGACAAAGAGGAAGGGGTCGAAGCCGGCGGTGTTGTAGGCGTCGCGCTGCGACGGATCGAGGCCGAGGCAGCGCATGTTATCCGCCACCCAATCCATTGGCAGCGTCGCCAGCCGAGCGCGGCACTCGCGCACGACCGCCGCCCTCTCCTCATCTGGCATCGCATGCCACTCGCCGGCCGTCTCGGCGAGCACCGCAATGGACTGGCTGATTTGCTCAGGGAGCCCATTCGCGGTGAGCTCGGCGGGCTCGCTGATGCGCTGGCTCTCCCGCTGGTTCGAGAGGGCGCTCCCCATTGGTGACCAGCAACCGCGATGGACTGGCCGCCGGGGGGGGCCGCAAGTTTTATCGGCGTCGGTCGGCGGTCGGATTCAAATTTTGCGGGAAGGATCTTCTCGCAAACCTGGCAGCATTCCACCGTCACACACACTCACACTCACACTCACACACACACACACACACACACACACACACACACACACACACACACACACACACACACTCACACTCACACTCACACTCACACACACACACACACACACACACACACACACACACACACACACACACACACACACACACACACACACACACACACACACACACACACACACACACACACACACACACTCACACTCACACTCACACTCACACTCACACTCACACTACACAGAGAGAGAGAGAGAGAGAGAGAGAGACAGAGAGACAGAGAGAGAAGAGAGAGAGCCCAAATCACTGACACTGTGCCAGTCGTGATTTCTTGTTGGTTTTCAAAAATCTCTCTCTCACACTTGGCGAGTAGAGGCACACGCACAGGAGCAGAGCCCCGGCGAGTCCTCGAAAGAACCCAAATGGGTCCTCGGAGAGGGTACCCTGGGTGGGCGGGGCCTCTACTCGCACAGAGTACAGAGAGAGAGAAACACACACGCACAGACAAAAGAAAAAATGCCTTCCGATTCCCTGTGAGACTGTGGACGGTGCCTGGGGCTCGAGCCTGGCTGAATGGAACATTGGAAGTGCGTTACCGATTAGGAATCATCAATTTCGAAAAATATTAGCGGGGTAGATCCGAAGGCGAAGCAGTTGAGAAAAAACGAAGAAAGAAAAGCGCGCAGGGGTCGGCGTGGAGGGCGATGAACGCGCCGCGCGGGGCGCCGCCTCACCGGCCCTCGCCAACGCCTCTGAGCAACGCCTCAAAAGTGGCGCAGAGTGAGGCGGCGCACCGAGCGAGCACGTGAGCTCCATGGCTCCAACCGGGCCCTTCCTTCTTTGAGCAGGTGTGCCGCCGCGCGAGCGACGCTCCGAGATCGCCCGAGATAGCGCGGCGCGGCCCCGAGATCGCCCGAGATAGCGCGAGATCGCCCGAGATTGCGCGGCGCGGCCCGAGATCGCCCGTGATCGCGCGGTTCTGCGGCGCCACGCGGCAAGGTGGGATGGGTTGGGAGCGAGGGGGCGGAAGTGGCCAGTGCGGTAGATCGGTCAGTCGGGGCGCGTGAGCCGGACTTGGGGGGGCCGGAGGGCTTTCATTGATTTTTATTAACCAACAAGAAATCACGACTCTTCTTCTTTCTCTTAACGGAGTCGCTTAGGCGGCTCCGGTGGTGTGCCGGTGATAGTACTAGCACGCGCCAGTTCGCACCTGTGTCGAGCCTGTCTGCTGTGAGAGAGAGAGAGTTCTTTTGTTTAAATTCTTCTTTCATTTCACTCTGCGTTCTTGCACATGGAGTGCAAGATACTCGTTCTGTTGCCGTCCCAAGCTGTCACTCCCCTTTCTCCCGGCCGGGGTGGGGCGCGCGCGGGGGGCGGCGGGTGTGCGGGATGCTGAATGAAAGGCGGGGGAAGAGCGGGTGAAAGGAGGGGAAATGACGGCTGAATCGCTCACGAAGCAACGTAAGAAGACATTCGAATAAGCTGTAAGATCGGCGCTAAACAGGCAATAAACGCGTTTTAAATTTAGATCTATTTCTAGGGCGGTGAATTCACGCCTAGGCATCCTTGTCTGTGTGCCATCAGCTTTTGCCCCAGGAAGATACTCGAGTATCGGCAGCATCGTCTTGCCCTCCGGCTTTGTGGCTCACAATGGTGGTTGCAGTCTCTCGGCGCGGCTCCGTCGCCTCTCACAGTCGGCGCGGCTCCGTCGCCTCTCACAGCTGGGTGGAGACGCCTGAGACCGTGGAGGTGCGCATCAAGCTCCCTATCGGGACGAAGCGGTCTCAGCTCCGCATCAGCCTCCGCGATGGCGACCGCGAAGCGTGGCGGAACGAAATTGAGACGGCCGGCGGCGAGGACCTGCCCGCTGAGCACGCCCGATTGACGGTGCAGCCAGCCTTCTGGCCGGAGCCGCTGCTGGACGGCACTCTGCGCGGCGCGGTCCTGCTGAAGGAGTGCAGCTTTCAGATGGAGGACGACGGTATCGGTGTGGCGGGCGCCGACGGCGCGCACGCTCTGAGGGAGACGCACCTCGTGGTGGTGCTCCGCAAGCGCTCGCCCGCGGGACACGCCGAGACGCGCGACGAGAACGGCTCCCACGGGACCGTCTGGTGGGGCGGCGTGCTCGACGCCGCCTCTCCGAAGCAGCCGCTCGCAGCGCAGCCGGCGAGTCGGAGCAGCCGGTGTGGCTCGGGTGGGATGGGTGAGAGTGCATCGGCGGAGGCGGCGGTGCTGGTGCAGCGGATGTCGGTGCGGCCGGGGGACGTGGATACGCAGCGGCAGTGTGCGCGCGGCTGCGCCTCGCTCGCGCGGCGTGAGGGCGGCGCTGCGGCGCTGGTGAGCGCAAAGGCACCGCGGCGAGCTTGCGGTGGGGGAGGAGGGAGGCGGGACCTCGGCTGACGCTCCTCGGAGCCGTCCTGTAGGCGCTGCAGCAGGTGGCGGAGGCGATGCGGCGGCACGAGTTTGACCGCGGCCTGCAGTGCGCGGGCGCCTCGCTGCTGTCGCGCGTGGACCCGGCTGCAAACGAGGCCCTCGGCCAGGGCGTCTGGTGGGCACTGTCCGGTGGGAAACCTTCCACGAGAGCCTTCCCGGAGCCGTCGGGTAGGCAAGCGCGCTCGCGCTGCTCGATTCGGCGCTGCTCCGCGCGGCGGCCGACGCCGCCCGCCGCTGGCCGCCCGACCGCGCCCCCCCTTCGCCTCCTCGGAGCCCGCCTATCGGAAGCTTCTCGGAACCTTCCCGTAGGCCGCTCGACCGCGTGCTCGCGCTGCATTTGGCCGCCGCGGCGCTCGCCTACGCAGGCGCGGGCGAGAGCTGCGTGCGCGCGCTGCTCGAGTCGGGCGGAGTCGGGCTGCTGTCTGCCTGGCTGGCTGAGCCGCCAACCGACTCGGCTCCACCCGTGTGCGAGGCGGCTTGAGGAGCCGAGATGGAGACGAGACAGAGACGAGACGTAGCGAGATCGAGCCGAGATCGAGCCGAGGTCTGCTGGCGGAGCCGCCGCCCGCGCACGAGGTGAGGCGCTGCGGGCTGGCGGCGGACATGTCCACGGGAGGCGTCCCCGACGTGTCCTGCAGGTGGCGTGCGCTGCACTCTGCAGGCTGGCGGCGCTCGGAGACCGGCGAGTGAGCTCTGCGCTCGCGCGCGATGGAGCCGCTGCGGCGCTGCTCGAGCAGGCAGCGGCGGCGGCGGCGGCGGGCGTTGCGGTGGCAGGTGGAGAGGCGGGTGAGACGGTGTCGGGTGGAGGGTGGGTCTGGGCGCGCCGCTGCTGGCTGGTGTGCCACTTGCTTGCGTGCAGCGACGAGACGGGTGTGCAGCAGCAGATGCTCTGTCATGATGATGACTCGGTAGTGATTATGATGATGGTGGTGATGATGGTGCTGACTACAGGCGTGCAGCAACAGATGCTCTCACTCGGCGTCCTCCCGGCCGCCGCATCGCTCGGGCGCGGCGCTGCTGCTTCCGACGAGCAGACCGCGCTGCTGCACGCGCTGATGGTTGGCGCTCTCACGTGGGCATGTCCCGCCTCGACCCTCCGGGCAGAGGCGCGACTCCTCGTCGCGTCGCACCGCATCCACGACTACCTGATCGACGCCGCCGGCCGCCACCCCGGAGCCCTCCCCGTCCGGTTGGCCGCCCTCCAGGCGCTGAGCGAGATGCTGCTCGCGGCACCGGCCACGCCCGCGACACCAGCGAGCGACGAGCGGCTCGAGGCAGAGTCACGGTTCGCCCTGAGCTTCCTCGATAGCACCCCTGCTGCTGTGTGCGAGGAGCCGCCTCCGCCGGCCACACCGCCTCCGGCTCTCTTTGCTGCGGTTGCCGCCGCCACCGCTTCCAGCGCAGCCTCCTCGGAGGCAGCAGTGTGGCAGCAGGAGGATCTGGCTGCCGCCGACGCTCTGGCGGCAGCGCTGGTTCAGAGCGCGGCGTGCGACAGCGACGAGCTGATTGCGCGCGAGGCGGGCAAGGCACGCGTGAGGCTCGGGGGCGCGGAGGCGGCGAGACGGGCCGCGACCCAGCTGGCGCCGACAGCGCTCGGCCGGATGGCTGCGTCCGAGAAGTGGCGCGAGGCGCTGCGCCGGAGCGGCGCCCATGCGGCTGTCGTGACGGCGCTGCGCCGCGGGCAGAACGACAGTAGCTATTGCGCCGCGCTGTGCGGCGTGCTCGCTCAGCTCAGTTGCGGCGAGGGGGAGCAGTCCGCGCTGCTGGCGACCGAAGCGGTGCCGCTGCTGGTGGAGATGTACGAGGACGCTCTGCTCGGCATCGACTCCGTCTCCTCGACCGCGATGGGCCACATCGGGACCCTCCTCTCCAATTGTGCGCTGGGCGCGCTCTCGTCGCGCGACGCGCTCGTGGCGCTCGGCGCGGAGGAGGCGACACTTCAGAGAAGCTCCCGACAGACCAAACCTCTCTCGAGACGGCCCCTCCACCCGCCCCGCACAGCTCAAGACCGCCCGCTCTTCACTCTTCACCCTCGCCGCCGCCACCACCGACCGCCCTCCTCCTCGGCCGCCTCTCGACCCCTCCCCCGTCGCCTCACCGCCAAGGCGCTCGACGCGGCCGACGGCGACGCCGCCGAGCTCGCGGCCATGCCCCCCCTCGAGGTTGTGGGACGGATGCGCGCTTGCCCACACAGCGCGATGCAGCAGCTTCGCGGCTGCCACCGCCTGCTCGAGATCATCGGCGCCGCCCAAGGCTCTGCGGCGGCGGCGCCGATGGCGGTGACGGCGGCGCAGGACCGGGAGCGCGCACGGAGGGAGGGCGTCGACGTCGCCGCGCCGCCGCCGCCGCCGCCCACGCCAGCAGAGTTGCTCGAGGGCGGCGCGATGCAGGCGTCGCTCGACGCGGCGGCTCGCCACTCAGGCACCGCCGCCGTGCTCGCGGCGTCACTCGGAGTGGTCGGCGAGTTGTGCGCGGCCGAGCCGATGGCCGCTGCCGTGGCTGGCTCCTCCGGCGGCGGTGCGGTGCTCCAGGCGGCGCTTGGCTTCGTCTCTCTCAAGGGAGCGTCCAGCCCCGCCGAGGCTGCAGAGGTGCGGGCGGCCGCGTGCCGTACGGCGCTCGCCCTCGGAGTTGCGCAGGCGCTGCTGCAGCGGGTGGGCGGCGAGGGCCACGACCCAGTCGCTCGAGCACAGCAGCTCGGGACCGGCCTTATCGCTGCAGCAGCGGCGTCGGCGCCCAAGGCTGGCGGCGCAGGGGGGGAGAGGGCGCGGCAGCACGCGAGGGCCGCGCTGAGCTGGCTTTCGCTCGACGCTTCCGGCTGGTCCTCTCTAATTGGGTCGCTCTCCACGCCCGAGGAGCGCGAGGAGGCTGCCGGCGCTTTGCACGCGCCCCTCGCCGCTTCCCTCTCGCCGCTCGCCGCACCGGCCCTCATCGGGCTGCTGCGGCGGTACCACTCGCACGACCGCCTCGCCGAGGGCTGCTGCGACGCGCTGCGGGTGACATTCACGACGGCGGCGCTCTCGGCGGCCGAAGTTGCGGCGAGCGGGCTCGTGCCGCTGCTGCTCGACCTCTTGCGCAGCGGCGCGTCGCGCGGCGCGAGCCGGCTCAGCGCTGCGGTGGCGCTGCTGGCCTCGTTCGCGTCTGAGGAGGACCTTCTGACGTCACTCCTCGAGGGAGGGGCGCTGCGGCTGCTCGTGCCCTTGATGCACGAGTCCATGGAGGGCGGACGGGGCGAGACGGAACAGGCGCTTGCCTTCTCGTCCTCCTCCTCCTCCCTGCCCTCCTCCTCCCTGCCCTCCTCCTCCCTGCCCTCCTCTTCCTCCTCCGCGCGCTTGCTCGAGCACGGCTGCGCGCTGCTCTCCCTCGCGTTGCGCCGCCGCCTGACGGAGCGGCGGCTGCGCGAGAGGCGGGGCGGCGCCGAGGGCCGGCCGTGTAGTGGCGACGGGGAGGCGGAGCTGCTCGAGGCGGCGCTTCCAGTGATGCTCCATGTGCTGGGCGGCGACCGAGAGGAGGAACGAGCGGCTCTCGGCCACGTCTTCGCGGCGCTGCGATCCATTGCCGCGACGGCGGAAGGCGCGTCGGCCCTGCTGCGCGCGGGCGTGCTCCCCCGCTCCCTCTGCCTCTGCCGAGCGTGGCCAGAGGGCGCGGCGCGCAGGGCGGCGGTCGACTTGATGGCGGTGCTCACGGTGCTGATGCGCGCTGCTGGTTGCCCCACGCCGGAGCTGCTAGAGCGGCGAGCGGCGAGGGCGAGCGGCGGGGGCGGCGAGGGCGGCGGGGGCGGCGAGGGCGGCGGGGGCGGCGAGGGCGGCGGCGAGGGCGGCGGGGGCGGCGAGGGCGGCGGGGTCGGCGAGGGCGGCGGCGAGGGCGGCGGGGGCGGCGAGGGCGGCGGGGGCGGCGAGGGCGAGGGCGGAGAGGGTGAAGAGGCGACGCATCAGGAGGCTCTGGCGCTTTGCGTGGCTGAGCGCGAGGCTCTCGTCGGTTGGGCGTCGGCTCAGCTCCTGCTCGCTGCAGGGTGCGAGACGCAACACCTTGCGGACGGGGCTGGCAACGGGGCGAGCGCGGCCGGCGGGGCTTGCGGGGAGGGCGAGGCTGCTTCCGCCGCCTCTGCCGCGATGCCACTCGCGGCGGTGGGCCTGCTCTCAGCTGCGCTGCTCCTGCGAGGCGACGCCGCCGCTGCTGCAGCGGTCGAGGCGCTCAAGGCTCTGCTCGGGGCGATGAAGGCGCACCGCGCGCTCGAGGACGTGCAGCAGGAGGGGTGCTGCGCGCTGGCGGCCTACGCCGGCACTGGCGTCGATGCGGCCAAGGAGGTTGCCCGTGCGGGCGGCGTCAAGACGCTGCTCTTTGCGATGCGCACGCACATCCGGAGCGGCGAGGTGCAGGCGCCCGGCGTGCGGGCGTTGCGCCGGGTCGCCGCCGCCAGTCAGGGGTGCCGGGGCGTCCTCGTTGCTGCAAACGGCGTCGCGATGCTCGCCAGCGTGATGAAGAGGCACGACGCGGACCCCGCGATCCAGTCGGACGGCGGCGCCTGCCTCGCCGCGCTCGCCCTCGGAGGGCCCGACGGGATGCGCGCGCTCGCCAAGGACGGGCCCGAGGCGCTAGTGGGCGCCCTCCGGTGCAGCGGCCTCGCCGCCGACGCCGCTGACCCCTGCCGCGAGGCGCTGCGCTCCCTGGTGGCCGCCGAGCCGTCGCTGCGCGTGCGCATCGAGCGCGCCAACGGGGCGAAGTATCTGTGAGCGTATGTGGGGCGACGGGGCGGACGGCGTTGGCCGTTCATGCGCGTCCGTGTGTAAGAATAAAACGCCCTGCCCCGTGCCGGTTTAAGATTAAACGCGGAGAAATAAAAGCGGGAATTTTCGTTTACCGTGCGCACACCTCTCACCTGGAGACACGGCCTCGTGGGCGTCGTGCAGCTCGAGCTGGGCGCCGCTGGCCAACACGGCGCGTGTGCGTGTGTGTTTTGTGTGTGTGCGTGAGATGTCCCTGCCTGTGGAGAGGGGCTGCAAGATGGATGTAGTAGACGGGCGCGGCCCGCGGGAGCCCGTCGCCCTCGCCGCTAGAGCTCGTCTTTCTCGGGCGCCTCGAGGGCCTGGCACATGCCGCACGAAGCCGGGCAGACGCGGTACCTGCGCGGGGGGAGGGAGGGCGTGGACGCTTCGTGATGGCGACCCTCGCAGCCGGCCGACGCGGCGCGAGTGCGCGTCGCTCACATGAAGCCCTTGTTGTCATCGCACTGGCCGTCCTTGGCCCAGCCGCTGCACGACTCGTCGTGGTCCATGCAGACCACCGAGCACACCTACGGGCGCCTCCCCGGTTCGGCTCGGGCCCACGGGCCCTTCATCACCGCGGGCAGCACCTCGGCTACACCTCGGCTGCACCTCGGCTATACCTCGGCTATACCTCGGCTACACCTCGGCTACACCTCGGCACTCTCTCGCACCTCGCACGAGTCCGGGCACTCCTTCATCACCGCGAGCGGGTTGTTGACGCACTCGCCCGCCTGCCCGCACCCGCCGCAGCGTCAAGGGCCGCCCCGCGCTCGTCGGGGCGGGGCGAACCGCTCTCTCGCGTCGCCCCGCCGGCTACCCTCGGCTCCGTCCCTCGGCTCCGTCTCTCGGCTGCGTCTCTCGGCTGCGTCTCTCGGCTGCGTCTCTCGGCTGCGTCTCGCCTCCGACCAGATGGCGCACTGCGTCGCGTTGCCGTCGGCGCACTTGACGCCCTCGCACACCCCGCACGACAGAGGGCACTCCTGCGAGGGGGGGGGGCAGGGGCGAGAGGCACGGTCCGGGGGGGAGGGGGCGAGCCCTCGCCCGGCTAGCGGAGGCGGCCTCGCGCCTTGTACATGAAGCCCGGGTTCTTGAAGCACTCGCCTGCCGTCGGGGGAAGGAGGGACTCCCTGCCGCCTCCCGGCTGCCTGCCTGCCGCCTCCCGGCTGCCTGCCTGTCCCCGGCTGCCTCCCCGGCTCGCTCTCGGCACTTGTGCAATCTCGGGCAATCTCGGGCGGCACCGTCTGCCGTCCAGCCAGGGCAGTCCGACTTGAGGTCGCGGCAAGTCGACTTGCAAGCCTCGCAAGTGACCTGGGAGCACGCAGCGGGGCGCGGACGTGTCGCGGACGTGTCGCGGACGTGTCGCGGTGCGGCACGGGAGTGGCGCGGGTGGGTGGAGGACCGGGCATTTCAATTCACCGGGCAGTTTCGAATCATGAACTCTGGGTTGTCGTTGCACTCACCCGCGGACCCCCAGCCGGGGCAGTCCGTGTGCAGGTCCTGCGGCGGCAGGGGAGGAGGAGGGTGGGGCAGGGGAGGAGGAGGGTGGGGCAGGGGAGGAGGAGGGTGGGCAGGGAGGAGGGTGGGGTCTGATGCGGCGGGGCAGCCTCGGCGGGGCAGTCTCCGCCCACGCGTCTCCCTCTCCCCCGGCTGACACGGCGCCGCCCTCCGAGCCGCGCGCGCCCTCCGGCCGAGTCCGAGCCGGCAGCAGAGACTGTGCGCGGGTCTGTCTCTGGGCATGCTTGGGAAGAGATGTGCTGGGGAGGGCTCTCCTTGCACTCCGGCGTGCAGAGCCCGCAGCTGGTCGGGCAGAGGCGCAGCATCGACTCCGGGTTCTCCTCGCACTCACCTGCGGCGGCGGGGCCGACCACATCCACATCCCTCCCTCCCCTCCACATCCCTCCCCCTCCTCCACATCCCTCCCCCTCCTCCACTTCCCTCCCCTCCTCCTCTCCCGCTGAGCCCTCTCCCGCACCCACCGGGCCTCCCCGAGCCCGGAGCCTGCCGTCCCTCCGAGGAGCCGGCCGGGTGGTGGGTCGTGGCGAGGAGCCCGCACTGCCCCCTGCCCGTGCTGCGGTGCCCGTGCTGCGGTGCCCGTGCTGCGGTGCGGCGCAAGCGCGCGGTGTGGAATGTGCCGGCGAAGCGCGCACCGGCCCTCGCCCAGGCGCCGCACGACTCGTCGGTGTCGTTGCACGTGTGCGTGCAGATGCCGCACGAGAGCGGGCACTGCGACATCATGAACTTCTGCGGGGCGATGGCGCGGAGGGGCGGAGGGGCTCAGGGGCCCGCCACACACACGGTGAGGGACGTGCTGGTGGAGCGGAGAGCACCTGATTCTCGCCCGTGCACTCGCCATCCTTGGCCCAGTTGACGCAATCGGTTCGCTTGTCGTTGCAGAAGCCCGCGTGCGCGAGCGTCGCGCCAAGGCTAAGCACGAAGGCCGCAGTCTTCATGCTAGTGCGGGCCTACGGACGAAAACGGCGTGGCGTCCGAGTCGCTGCCGAGCGAGGTTCGGCACAGGCCGGCGCGAACGGGAGGAAACCAGGTCGAAAGGTGTTCCGGGCGCCGTGGGGGTTTCAAGTCTAAGGATGGGAGGTGGAGGCAGGTGGATCAACACACCCGCTGAGTTGTCCTTCGTTGTGCGCGCAGGAAAAAAAAACACTTTTTTTGGGCGCGAAAAAAGAATGTTCGGAAAGACCCGAGGCGGACATTATTCCAAGAGAGTTATTCCAATCGTCAGACGGCTCGAGGCCTCGAGCGAGCTGTCAGAGAGAGAGAGAGAGAGAAAGAAACTAAGAAAGACAACACACCGAGCCGGAAAAGCGAGGCGACCACCCGAGTGCTCTTGACGCGTCCTACGAGGCGGCTGATGCGGGTGGAGCCGCCATCCAACCCCGCACAGACTCGGTCCTGTGTGCCTGGCTTGTGGACCTCCCTCGCTCTCTCCCGTGCGCCCCCCGCGCCCACACGGTGAAGCACACGCGACACGCCGCACAGGCGCCGGCCGGTGGTCGAACCCATACACGTGAAACTCGTGAATGTGATTCATCGACATCGAAGTGCTAAAAAATGCCGCGCATGGCGTCCCGTTCAACTTCTTGATCGCAGCCGTCGTGTTGGGACCCTTCTCCAAGGGATTGCTTTCCAGGTGCTCGCGAAGACTTTCCAGGTGCTCGCGAAGACGTTTAAAGGCGTCGCTGTACTGCCTCAGGACTTGGTCCATCAAACGATTGACATTGAGAGCGCGAGCTGTTGGTCGGCCCCCACCTACTGCACGAAACGTAAGCCCTGCTGCGGCTGCGCGTGCTGCGGCTGCAGCTGCGCGTGCTGCGGATGCGGCTGCGCGTGCTGCGGCTGCGCGTGCTGCGGCTGCGCGTCGCCAAAAAGCACGCTCAGAACGCTGAGATCGATCGGATGCAGCGGATGCGCCGACTGCAGCTGCGCCCGCAGTGGCTGCGCGTGCTGCGGCTGCGGCTGCGCAAACTGCAGCGGCTGCGGAGGCGTCTGCTGCGACTGCTGCTGCCGGCAGCGCCATTGAGCCTGCGCCTGCTGCGCCTGCGCCTGCTGCGGCTGTGCCGGCTGCGGCTGTGCCGGCTGAGTGTCGAGAATGGCCAGATTTTTGTGGCCTGAGAACACCCAGCCTGCGCGTCCGTCAGTGAGGCGGACCTCCACCTTCGGTGGCGGCCCAAGACTTACCTGCTGGATGACCCCCTCCTTCACAACAATAGCTGAATCGCCGCTAGCGAAATATTTGTGCCGGGCCCATCCGGCACGCGTTTGCCAGTCAGCAGCTCAACGCGCATTCCGACTGCGAGGGGCTTGCGCGCGTTTCTGGCCTCCTTCTTAGTCTGCTTCTTCTTGATCGTCCTGGGTGCCCTCTGTTGCTCCATCTCGGCGGAGCTTAGGAACGCGCCGACTTACGCCCACACCCAGGGAGCAAAAACGGCAAGTTCCGTATTCTGCGGTTGGCACTCGTCGGAGCTTCCGGCTGGGGACATGTCCGGCGAAAGGACAAAAAATTCGCGACTACCGGCAGCAGTTCGCTTTGTCTGCTGCATTTATTTATTTATAGCTCGCTTCTCGGCTCCACTAATATCCTCGCCAACGACCAGATTCTGCTGTCAAAGAACTTTACGTAAATCCTGGAATTACGGCGGGTCTCCCCCGCCCATCTCTCCTCAAGTCTTCCACACAGGGTGGCCCCCCATTGATGGCTAATTGCAGGGGTGAAAATTTCTCAGAAAAGGAGAATCTGCTCCAATCCTCGGCAGCTCTCGCCGAGAAGCGAGTAAAGAGGATCTGGTGTGCTGTCGCTGTCAGCTCCGCCAACCATGAAGCGGATGGAGTCGCGCGATCTGTCCTACACCAACCTCGCCGCGATGGCGGAGGAGTTTGGCACCTTTTCGCGCGTGCTACCGAGCGGCAGCTCAGGTGCGAGCATCCGCACTCGCTGCAGCGACGCTCGAGCAAACCTCGGCTGGACTTTGCTCACACCGGCCGCATCCATGCACAGGCCGCACGTCGACGGCAACGGCCCAGGACTCGGGGACGTCGTATGCGAGGGCGATGGAGCTCATCAACACCGGCCTTCGGCTCGACACCAGCTCGCCGCTCGAGGCGATCGAGTCGTACCAGCGCGGCGGGGACCTCCTCTCGCGAGTGCTGGAGTCGGCGCGTGGCGCGCCGATCGCCTTCCCACACCCTCCCTACCCGCCCACCCGGCTCTGATCCCGCTCTGATCCGACGCACGGCGCCGCTCTCGCCACCAGCCTGCACGGCTCCGCCGAGGCCCAGCCGCGCCAGGCTGCTGACGGCGGCGGACGCGAATCGCAGGCGCCACCGGACGCGCAGTCGCACAAGATGCAGCAGACCCTCGACATGATCGAGGAGCGCGTCCGGTACCTCACGCGCTCCGCCGTCGGCAAGCCGCTGACGGACTCAGCAAACGTCTCGTCGCTGCCTTCGCCGCGCTCGACCGACGTGGGCGTGGTGACTAGTGAGCCGCCGCCGGTGCCCGACGCCGCGACGGACAGCGTGACGATGGGCGACGGCGGCGAGCTTCCCAGCGACAAGCACGACCGCTTCCTCCTCCGCCTCTTGCCCTGCAGCCCCTTCCGCCGACCCGCCTCGCCAGCTCGGTCGATAGGCACGTGTACAACCTCTTCAACCTGGCGGCGCCAGACAGGCTGCCGCGCGAGCTGTGGATGGTGCACGCCTCCTTTGGCGGGGGCATCTTCGCAGACCTGAGGCGACAGACCGCCTCCTCCGCAGACTTGCGTCAGAACCCTCTCGGAACCCTCTCGGAACTTTCCGATAGGCGCGCGATGTGCTTTCCGGCAAGAGCCGCCGAGCTGAGTCGAGGTCACCCGAGGCGTGCCCCGCTCAGGCGCGCGTTTGGCTTCCAGCACGAGTCTGCCCTCAACCAGACAGAGCATTTGCTGCTGCTGCTCGCGAACGTGTCGTCGCGCGAGCCGGACGGGCGACGGACTCTAGCTGCTAAACAGGGCTCTAGACGCCGACAACAGGGCTCAAAGATGCCGACTAGGGCTCTGTAGATGCCGACCGCCCTGCGTCGCTTGGAGCCGTCTGCGGTGCTCGGTGGTCTCCTCCCGCCCTCATCTCCCCTGGCCGTCTCCAGGATCGGGACATTGCACCGCCGGCTCATGCGCAACTACCGCTCGTGGGCGGTGCACCTCGGAGTCTCTGCGCAGTGCGCCGCGGCGTCGGACGTGTCGCAGAACAAGGTCGCCGACCTCGCCCTCTGGCTGGAATGAGTAAGTAAGTAAGACACAATTGATCAATCCCAAGGTCGCCGACCTCGCCCTCTGGCTGCTCATCTGGGGCGAGGCTGCGAACTTGCGCCACATGCCCGAGTGCCTCTGCTTCCTCTTCCACAACACGCGCGCTCGAGGCGCGGCCGCGATGCAGCAGCCCAGCCCGCAGCCCAGCCCTCGTCGAGCCGCCACTAGGCGCGCTGAGCTGTGGGATGCGCCGCTGCACATGCCTCGCCGCCGGCCGCCGGGCTGGTTCCTGTCTCGCGTCGTGGCGCCGCTGTACCACAAGGTGGCGCATCTCTCCCGCACAGACGGGCCCCCGCACAGACGGGCCCCCGCACAGACGGGCCGCAGCCGAGATGCAGCCGAGATGCAGCCGCGGAGGCGTTGCCGGTGACGCACGTCTCTTCGCCGCCAGGTCCGCGCCGAGGCGAAGCGGACGGGCGAGCGTGGCAAGCCGCTCGGCCACACGCGCAAGGCGAACTACGACGACTTCAACGAGTTCTTCTGGCGGCGGCAGTGCCTGCAGTACTCGTACTTCGCGCCCGAGGAGGAGCTGGGCCACTTGCCTCCCTCCGGCTCGGACCCGGTCTTGTCGAGCCCCGCGCTCTCCGGCTCCGTCTCCGAGGTCGAGATGCCGCCGAGATGCGGCCGAGATGCGGCCGAGATGGGAAGAGATACCGCCGAGACGAGCCCCTCTCTCCCCACCTCCGTCTCGGAGGTGCTGTCATGATACGTGCCCCCTATGCACACCCTCACACCATCCACACCCTCCACACCCTCACACCCTCACACCCTCACACCCTCACACCCTCACACCCTCACACCCTCACACCCTCACACCCTCACACCCTCACACCCTCACACCCTCACACCCTCACACCCTCACACCCTCACACCCTCACACCCTCACACCCTCACACCCTCACACCCTCACACCCTCACACCCTCACACCCTCACACCCTCACACCCTCACACCCTCACACCCTCACACCCTCACACCCTCACACCCTCACACCCTCACACCCTCACACCCTCACACCCTCACACCCTCACACCCTCACACCCTCACACCCTCACACCCTCACACCCTCCACACCCTCCACACCCTCACACCCTCACGCCCTCACACCCTCACACCCTCACACCCTCACACCCTCACACCCTCACACCCTCACACCCTCACACCCTCACACCCTCACACCCTCACACCCTCACACCCTCACACCCTCACACCCTCACACCCTCACACCCTCACACCCTCACACCCTCACACCCTCACACCCTCACACCCTCACACCCTCACACCCTCACACCCTCACACCCTCACACCCTCACACCCTCACACCCTCCACACCCTCCACACCCTCACACCCTCACGCCCTCACACCCTCACACCCTCACACCCTCACACCCTCACACCCTCACGCCCTCACACCCTCACACCCTCACGCATGCGCACGTCCCTGACGTGCCCCGGCCGTCTCGGAGGTGCTCGCGCTGCACGCGCCGGAGCTGCAGCGGCCGCTGCCGCCCATCGACTCCTTCCCTGCCTGCAAGCGGTACGTGGAGCGCCGTTCGTGGCTCCACCCGATCCGCTCCTTCTGGCGCGTGCACTCCTTCCTCTTCGTCGCCCTCCACTTCCTTCTCGTCCTCTCCTTCCTCGAGGGCTACCACCCGGCTGCACCCCGCCGCACCCGCCGCATCTCGGCCGCATCTCGGCGCCGCCCCCCGACAGTAGGCCGCACCGGGCTCGTGCTCGACGGCGCGCTGCTGCAGGCGCCCCACGCCCCGCACCCCCCCCCCCCCTCCTCGCACCCCCCCCCCCCACACACGCCTCCCCGCCCCCCTCTCCCCCCGCAGGCCCTGCTCGGCTGCCTCCTCACTCTCTCCGGCACGAGCCTGATCGGCGACCTGCTCGACGCCTTCACGCAGCACGGCGCGCTCCACCAGCAGCTCTCCGACGCTCTCTCCCTCTCCGTCCGCGTCGCCGCCAAGGCCGCCGTCGGCGCCGCCCTCGCCGTCGAGTACCTTCAGCTCATGACGGATGCGCCGCTCGCCAAGCAGCATGTGCCTCCCTCCGTGTGGGCGAGCACCGTCCTCGCCGGCCGGACGCGGCTCCTCGCCGCAGCAGCCGCTTTCGCGCTGCCCTCGCTCATCGTGCGCCCGCCCCCGCGCGCCGCCACGACTGCCTCGCACCACCACGCGATGCGGCGTCTCCCCCCTTCCCCCTCCCTCCCCTGTAGTTCGCCCTGTGCGAAAAGGTGGGCAACTGCGTGCACTTCGTGGTCGACGACCCGGACTGACACGTGCTACGAGATTTCGATTCAAGCTTGCCAGTGCTGCATAGG